ATATGCATGTGGGATAACCGAGTTGCCAATAAGAAAACTCCCATCCATAAGGTAATTTGTCTCATAAGTGCTCATGCGTTTCCATGTAGCCTTAAACTCTTCTGTTTAACAAAATCGTCATTGTTGCCATTTTTGATGATTTTTCCTTCCTGTCAACGAGGTACTGCAGTAATTAGGCGATATTATGCTGACGAGTAAGAGAGTGCCAATTTTCCTGGGAAATGGGTCTTGAGAACGACGATCGGGTCGGAAAGTAGACCTGTGATGCGAAGTTTCTCCTTATACTTTCGCAACCTTGGCGCAGAAGGAAGGACGTCAAAATCTGCTCGGAAATTTTCATCGAGGTTCGAACTGTGCTTCTTACAGAGTCCTCTTTCAACCTCCGCACATACACATCCTGTGTACGCCTTGGAGGTCATTGGCACCCACAACGCGCATAACCTGGTAGTTTCATTCATCCGTTTTTCATTCGTCCGGTTTTTTAATTCAACCATAATCGATGGTTCTTCTCAAAGGTGTCCATAAGTACCGGATGGAAAGATGTGTAGCTGGAATGTGGACAACCTGACTCAACCAGTGGACGGCAAAGAGCTGTTGTCAAGGCAAGGAAAGCAGGTAAATATTTTCTCGACTAATTGTTTTCCTCAACAGTGGGGAGCCTCGAAACCTATACTTGCTGGTTTTCTTTGAATCTAATGCAGACATTTTGATGTGCTGGTGGTTATAACAACAATATGGGCGCGTCACTTGGACCTGAGCTAGTGAATACGACGGTCTAACCGTATACTTACCCTTGACTTCGAACATTTAAGAGCAGCGAATTCGTGGAGGCGATCTGGTGTTTCTTTAACTGTTAACTAAAAACTTGAATGGTAGTTTATTCCTCTCATTTGGAACGAAAGGGAGAGGTCATTCGTTATTGTTTTATCGCTGACAAGATCGTTCAGATCGGGTTCCACTGTGCGTGTTGCGGATGCTGTGCATAGCTGCCTAGTTTTTGTTGTTGGCTGCAGTTTTCCCTGTCGTAGGTTTCCAAGGGCAATATATAGCAGTTCGCCACAAAATTTTGTGTTTTCTTGGGGGCCTGATGGAGTTGATATCAAAAATGATTGAAACCAGAAAGATTAGCCCAAAATTCTCTTACATTATGAAGTGATGACGCGATTTTTTTTAACTGTTAGGCTGGTAGCTGTACCTTTTCAAATGAGATCCTCATTCTTATTCCATGGTGTGGAACAGGCCCTAGTTTAAGTTACTTGCCCTTACGTGCAGTGCCTCAGCTTTTGAATTTCTTTACCCTGTCTTAATTTGCCGTTTAACAGAGCGGGGTGAGGGTTATCTTCTAAAACGGCATAAACACTTCAATATGCGAAAAAAGGATCCAAACACAAGCAAGATACTGCGTAACTTAAGAATGCAGACCCAAGATGCGCGTCAGTGGTTTTCGAGATCTGGTGCGAATATGCATTGTTTACCAGCTTCAGGCTATTGAGGCGCAACGCCTACTTCAACTTCGAGGATTCGGTCACACAAACCGTGAGCTGTACTTTCTTCGAGATCAGCATTCAGTGTGTAACCAGGGGAGGGGTCGATGTTGCCTGAGGGGGGGAAAATTTGCGCGTGAGAAAAAAAATCTTCCTCGGTTTGATTTCCGTAATTTATTTGTTTCATGAAATTATACTAAAATAAAACTCCCCCCGTTACCTTCCCCCTTACTGACAGCGAAAATTTTTCGGAGACAAAACTGGAAAATGTTCTGGGATCTTGAGTAAGTGTTGAGGAAAGGCGGGGGTATACCGAGACCTTCTCGAGAGGTGGGGGAGTCGGGGGTCGTACTGACACCACCATTTCGCACATCACGATGCTGTACCCTGCTTTCTGTAGAAGCTCTCGTTGAGAGCATTCTCATATGCCAAATCTACAGAATGAGTTGAGCGTTACGCTCATGATATCATGAAAGGTGATTGTGCACCATATAGTCCGGTTCGCTGTGGATTAAGGGGCGTGTCCAGCGCGTTGGATTTGGCCTCGCGTCAAATCCATCCCTGTCTGTCAGGCTCCTCATATATAGCGAACAAGACTGTGAAGGAGTCGTAGAAGGTTGTTCTCAGCTGTTCATTTTTTCTGTCAATATTTTGAATTCTGTGTTTTCCCTTACCATCCTCTTTCTACTAGTGTTGACTATGCGATTGATTCCCATAATTACATAGGGTCGTTTCAGATTCCATGTCTGTGCATGTCCTTCCCAGTGGCGGATATGAATAATTTCGTAGTGGGAAGTGAAGACGGACACGCATATGCTCTGAGTCGTCACGGCACGGGACAACCGAACACCTCAAGAACACACATTCTTTGATGGTAATCATTAAATTAAAAGAGCAAGTATCATTATTTTCCCGAGTTTTCGAGTTCGTGCAGGTGCACATCATTAAAAAAGTGCCGGCACTAGGAAGCCTCTCCAAATGCAAAGTCAACAGTGGTTCACTTTCCGCCCATTGTGACGTAGAAAGTTGCAATGAGAGGGCAGGGGATTATTGTTGTGCCGCGATCTCTTTTGCGGACTTACCGAATGAAATAATGGGTTGTTCAGGACTTTTGCTTTTTCGAATTTCGAACATCTTCGTTTTAAGTCATAATATCGTAGTTGTGGTCAGGGGACGTCAGGGCACATCGTTGTTGGGGAATCCCCAATAGGGGGGGTCGTATTTGGCCGCCAGGAGAGGGGGGTCGTATTTGGGCTGGGAAAAATTTATTTTGATAGTTGATTTTTCTCGCTTCGGACGTTGTAAAGGGGGGGGGTCGTATTTACGTTTTGGCGTTGTAGGAGTGGTGGTTGACTTTTGGTGATTTTCCTGTTTCATGCGTACTATATGTCCTACTCCCCCTTTTCCCGCTCTAATATACCACTTGCGC